TGTCCTTTCTTGTTCATTGTTAGGTTTGGTTTTGGACAAAATAGATCTCAACGTGTTTGTTGTTTTGAATGTTGTTGAAATGTTGAATTTATTTCCTATCCTTTTAAGTTTTTCTGATAATCCTTTTATGTACGGTATTGTTATTTTCCTCGTATTATTCCTTGTGTATGCTGTAGGATCTCGTTCTAAGTTGTTCTGTTCTATTCGATCGATTGTTGAAAATTCCTTATTTATAAACGATAAAGGATAATCATTTTTTTAATAAAACAGATGTTAACAAATGTTTCTCCTCCAAGAACGAATTTTCGTTAGAACAATTAATTTTGGCTCTATCGTATAAGGATTTAATTATTCCCTTTTTTACATTAATATTGTGATTTGATTTGAAATTTAAATATCTATTGGTGTGTGTTGGTTTTCTATACACCTGAGTCTCATATCCAGTATCGTTCTTAGAGATTAAAACATCCAGGAAAGGTAGCGTGTTATTATATTCCTTTTCCATGATAAATGTTATTGTCATGAAAATAAAATTGTTATAAATCATATCATTAATTTAAAATGCCACAAGAAAATATCTTCAGAACAATGCTGTGGTTATATCACAAAATAAAAAAGAGCTCCAGATACTAAAGAATATACTCATAGGAGAGAGCCTCCCCCTAGAAACGTTAGTTGTCAGTCGAGCCTTACAACCCCATCACAATGTTAATGTTAATGTCGATGGAATCAATCTGCAAACTTTTTATTTATTTTTGTGCTGTTTTTTTTTATATTTCGTAGGACCTTTTATGTAGGTGTCTTATTTTCTATTCAAAGGACAGAGATAACTCGACCTAAAATAAAATATTCAGGCTCTCGAATAAATTCGTATCTGTTTTCTCATCCCTGGAAAGTTCAAGGCCGGAATAAGGGTCGAGGTCCTTCGATTCGCATTCCGGACCTCTGGATATTTATTTTTGAGATGGTTGATGGCAAAAACATGTGAACGTTTCTTATAAGTAGCTCATGTAAGTTGAGAGGAAAATTAGTTCTGTATCATGTTTTGTATGCTTAGAATAACATAATATAGGGGAGCACGGGGCACCTTGAAACATTGTTCGTGTTTAAAATTCGTTATAATCGTTTAAAAATCGTTATAATATAATCTCAGTTGTAGTTTTAACAAACGATTTCAGAATTCCGTAAAATCCGCAAAAACATATCCGGGAGCAGATGTTACATCAGATCATAATCTTTTACTAGGACGTTTCAAACTCTACATAAAAAAGTCCATAAAAGAAAAGCACAAAAACGTCCAGACATCCAGAAGTTAAAAGATAAAACCATAAGACACGATGTCAAAGAGGGGATCAACAACAAAATAAACAGCATGGTAAACTCAGATATTAATCACGAAAACATAAGTGAGGATAATATGTGGAATAAAATCAAAAATACCTGTAATTTAGTGGTAGATAATAAACTTAAACCAGAAAACAATATAAAGAAACAGCCGTGGATGAGACAAGAAATATTAGAGGTAATGGAAGAACGAAGAAAACACAGAAATAAGAATGAGGAAAGGTACAAAGAAATAAACAAAATCATTAAGAAAAAGATTAAAGAAGCAAAAAAATCATGGCTACAAGATCAATGCATAGAAATAGAATACCTAGAACAGAAGCAGGACATTTTTAACCTACATAAAAAGATCAAAACACTTAATGGGAGGAAACAGATCACGAATTCATAACTTAATACTACTAGTCATAACTGTCATAAGTCATAACTTAATAATACTATGGTCTGTTTTTTAACCAGGAGGAGTAATTCAAATTTTCCGCGCCGTAATGCTTGTTTGCAATTGGTCCAACCGCAGGCAAGTTTACTCCACTAAATTATGACATATTGACACTAATGACATTTGTGAAATTTATTTATTATTTTCGTCTAATATATAAATCGATTTTCTGACTCTTTAAAGTTGTTTGTAATAACTTGGACTTGGTGATATGCGAATAGTCTTTAATGTGATATTTTTCTAAATGATATTTATACTAAATATAGTTTAAAGTGGTTATAAATTTATAAATGTACCTATGTTGTTTATATCTAATTATCATAAGAAAAACGGCAACTATCTTTTAAATTTAGTGTATACTTGTTAAGAAGCATTTCCATTTTGTTTTCATCACAATAAAAGAACATTAGTAAAGTAATGTGTTTTAGTTTGATTACATTGATACAGTTGGTTTTGTTCTTCCTGGTTGCAGATCATCACAAGAAAACTGCAAAATTATGCAAGAATGTAACATAATAGATTGGATTTGTTATCTCACAGAAATCCAGTATTTTTTAGTAAATTTTATTTGTTGATAACAAATGGGACAAACTCACTGTCAAAATTAAACAAGAATCCAGCATTAAAGAAATTGTAAATACACACTTATTTATACAAAGTATCTGGTAAGAAAAAAAACTAGATTCAAGAAATTGATCATACCAGAATAAGAATATCTTCTACTATTAAAAGACAAATTTCTGAGAAAAACCATACTTAGATCTGTAACATTATTGACTCTCCCGATCAAAATATTCTCTAAATTATAATTAAATACCATAGACTCAAGAGATCTATAAAACTGGATCACCCGATATTTAAATATATATACATGGGACCAAATAAGAAAAAAGTGTGAATAAAAAATTTATTGTAATAATTGTAATATATATTGGAATTGAATTGAAAAAAAATATTTCATTATTCAAACATAAATAAACAAAGTTACCTAAAGTTAAAATTGAGGTGTGAGGTTGTCCGATATTGATTACTCGATTACCGCAAGGCCGAGATTATCAACAAAAAAGAAGATGTATTTGGTGACTTTTCTAGTAACTTTCTTGGGTGTGAATCTGTCTTTTTGGTTTACTCCTCCTGGTTAAAAAACAGAGTATATATTAATCAACTAATGGCGGACTTGCCAGCTATTTGTCAGGTAAAAGAGAATCCACCGTCAGGTGATGCTCCTGCTGAAAAAATCAACAACTCAACAATGGAAATCGATGCAGATGTCAACACCTCAAGTTTCAATGACAACTCTTAATACCCCAGTACTTCTACTATCATCAGTAATGTAAAAATGTCCTTATGTGAAGCTGAAGATTTTAGAGGATTTCCCAAGGCAGAGAGTAGGAAAAACAATAGAAACGGTCGAGCAAGAGGAAAAAGTATGATAGCAACCAGTACTTCAGAAATTACTGCAATTGCCAATAAAACAGCGGTATCAATAGCAAAAAAGAGATATGGTCAAACGTAAAATAACACATTTTAATAAGGAGACTAGGAAGAAATCCAAAAAATCGAAGAGGTTCAGGCTTCATCTGAAGAAGAAGATGTAGTCAATTTTATTGAGACTGATGAAGACTTGGACGCAATTGAAGACATTTTCATTATTAATAAAGACATATACATAGATCTGGATAGGTTACCCATTAAAAATGATTATGTACTGGTGGAATATAAATTAAAATTCGAAATGAAGTTGTTCAGAAAAAAGGACATAACACCTTTGTAGAGCCACCAGTTCCAGATGTATCAATAGTCGCTGAGAATAGCATTAAGATGATTTCGGAGAACCCGGTTTTTGCGAGATCAACCGAATGCCAAAAACAATTTATTTCTTTCGGAATCGACTTCACTAATTTAAATATTCGCTAAGTTATATATTTCAACGTTTGAATTATTTGTCCTTTGATTGTATATAATTTTTTATAAATAGAATAAAACTATAGTATAGCACTTTTATTGGGCATACTTTTACAGCAATCTCATTTATTTATTGTACAACTTGGTCGTTTTTATATATGTTTCATTGTACCCCTATGTATGTTACATTGTGTCCCAGTGGTGGGGCACAATGAAACCTTTTTTTTAAACTTGAATTGATTATTACTCAAAATTGTTAATAATAAGGTTTTTGATACTTCTATAAGTCTGTTCCTAGTACTAAAGATCATCTTTTAAAACACATTTTAAACTGATATACCTACATGTAAAAACAGGAAAAATAAAAAACAAATTTGTGTTTCATTGTGCCTCGTGCTCCCCTGACATAATATACATATCAATAATTATTATGATACTAAGATAATGGAAAATTCCCAATTTTTACATATCGTACGACCATTTGAACTTAAAATGACTATATATTCTAGAATATTTGTAATTCATGTTTAAATTGGCTACTAGCTTTACATTATTATAACCGACAGGAATTTAAAAATATTTTAAAAAACAAATCCTTATAGACTCCTTTAGTTCTCAGATATCTAATAAATTAACTTTGATATAATTATTATGATGATAAAACCTGCGTCATATTTTCAAATTGTGTTTATATATTGAGTTTTTAAATGATACTTGTTTCACAACATCCAGATCCAGTATCCTGAAGACCATACGGAAGTCATCTATCTGACATCTTTCGGGGAATGCTTGAACGTCTATATTTAAAATTATGCAATGTTGCGTCAAAATTGAAAACTCGAATTAAAACAAAACATAAATATTTGATTAATACCATTGATTAAAAGCTACTACTCAGTTACTACAATGTAGTTTTTAATCAATATTAATACTTATACCAAAAATGTAAAATATGCTTAAAAAATATCCTAAAACTACAAATTTCTACGAAAATATCTGTAAAAGTCTGCACTTACTTTTACAACATAACCGCTAGATGACGCATAATAGCAATTCCGAAAACTCATAAAAAACTATTTTAATAATGTTCAATATGTACATATTTATTCATTTTAATTATAAAATAGAAAAGAACATTTAGATAATTTTTCGTTTCAGCAGCAGACTATGCATTTTTTAATATAATATCTACGTAATTTATGCTTTTACCCTAAAAAGGGCTATTGGCGTGTGAAATTGATACTTGTGAAGATGGCAGCACATCTTCGCATCTGTCATATCTCAGTTACCAACCGAGTGACGGGACGCCACCATTATAGACGTTTGTAGTCAACATTTTGAGCACGTGGAAAATTTCCTCTGCTTAAATCTTGTTTTTATTATTATTGAACTGCTAATATCGTGAATTTTGTGTGACAACTATTGCCCAGTGCTTTGCTGATCCTGTTAAAGCTGCATTGGAGAAGCAACAAACTGTAAGTACTTAAAAATTAACGTATGTTTGTCTCCAATATTCTAGCAATGTGGCCGGCTTACCTACATCTTAAAATTTGGTGATGAGATATTTTAAGAATGCGTTTGGGTTGATTCATCTTTTGATTATTTTAGTTTTATTATATACAAAACTTAATAGTTACTGTCAATTTTAGTGGTAATATTCATGCTTTTGACAAGTTTTTGTACACCGTCTGGAACTTTTGGGTGTAGACATACTCGACGACTGCCGAATTCGTAGAAGTAATTATTAAAATGTAGGCAGATAATCTGTTTTAAAATAATGACGCTAACAATCTATTGTTAAGACGAACATTATGTGAATAATGATCTTAAAGGTGTGTATAAACAAAAACGGTTGAACCTGTAAGCCTAATGTCAATTTGATTGCGGCTTAGAATACCTGTTGGTTATGATCTAACTTTATTAAAGATTTTTAAGTTTGTTTGGTGGAAGATAACAATATGTATTTTACTTGCTGTAATATGTCAGCTATTTTGGTTGAACCAAATCCTTTGACCTATTTTCTCTATGTAAGCGGGCTAGGCAATTCGCAGAGATATCACAGAAAAAACGATAGTTTTCATTGAAACAATGTTTTATATTTAAAATATATTTACATTTCCTTGACACACGAATTCATTTATTTGGGTTATTGTAAACAAGAACCCATAACTCACTGAACAAATATTTTAAATTCAAACCAGGGTCATTGTCTTGATTATTCAATTTTAGTGTAATTGGAACATGCATTGAGTTTGTAGTTTGTGTGTATTTCCTTAACAATTTGCTAAATTGTGTATTTATTCATCTGACTCAACAGTTTTGCATGTAGAATGGAAATAATAATTATTGTATTTGTTGCAAATTCCTAACTATATTGAATAAGGCCAGTTCAGTAAATATAAATTGTCATTCTCCTGGATTTTAGTCTACTTAAGTGAGATGATGATACCATGAGATCAACAAGTAATTTAAACATAACCTCCTTGCAGCCATGTGCTTCTTTATTAATGCACATCTCTGTTCTTATTTTATTCTACGAACTTTTGATATAAATTTTAACTATTATTTGGAATTGGTATCTTCCAAATCATGTACTAGAACAATTGAGTCATTTAAATTACCCATTCAAGAAATATAGAGACCTTCATCACAAAATTGACTTAGTAGTATAAGAAAATGATGCAGTGATAAATCTTTATAATGATAATGATCACACCAACTCTGTTATATAGATGTGAAAGTTAAGTAATAATGCAAATATAATCAAGTCAAAAAGCATTACAAGCTCCATTCCTTGCTCATCTTCAAATCTGAGTGGTTTCTTTCATATCTGCTGTTGACAAGAATTCAATTTGTCTCTATTACAGCTAACTCATCTTCCACTGCGCCATGGAAAATATATTCAGAGCATAAACTGAATAGCATTGGTGAGAGAATACATCCCAGTCATACATCCTTTTGAATACTTATGTCCTAACAGTCTTCGTCTTTGCCTTCTAGTTTTATTCTTGATGTTTGACCCTATTATCTTGATATTAGTTGAACATATTGATAATCAATATTTAGTTTTTGCAAGATTTCCAGTAGCTTATCATGCTTAACATAGTGAAAGGCCTCATTATAGTCAATGAAGCAGACATACGAATCTTGGTTGACATTACGCATCTCATTGCCAGTAAATTAAAGGCAAACAGGGCTTCTACAGAATCCAAACTGTGTATGTGATGTTTCATATTCACATTTGTCATAAATTCTGCAAAATTTAAGGCAAGGAAATTTCAAATGTTATTAAAATTCATTGTCAGTGGTTTATGATACTTTAGATTTACTATACTATTCAATGGTGGATATTATCAGCTGAGTCAGCAAGACTCACTAAATTATGCACCGGAGTGTACTTTTTCTGATCTGTTCGCTGTCAGGGCATAGCACAAAAATGAACTGTTGAATAAGTTTTGTGGTTTTATAAGAGAGGGAATTGCTACTAGCCTAATTTTTTTATGTTGGCACCCTTCATATGGATGTATGTGAAGTTTCATTTCAATCTAATTCATTCTTTGTTTATAAGCAATTTAGTATCAATGTATCACAATATTTTTTTTTACCATGAACAAATAATATTGCTCTGAAGCTATTTTCTTGTGGCATTTTAAATTAATTACTATTTAACTGGGAATAAGCCACATTAAAGATAAAAATAACGTTTATTGACGTTTCAATTTCCACTTCGGAAATCGTTCTTCGGAAATTTAAATTAAAAATTCCAGAAAGGCGAATGATTTCCGAAGTGGAAATTGAAACGTCAATAAACGTATTTTTATCTTTAATTGTGGCTTATTCCCAGTTAAATAGTAATTAATGAACAAATCAATTAGCATGCAATGGTGAATTTTTATTTTTGGAAGATTTGAAAGCAAAATGAAATGTTGAAAGTGCATAAAGACTATTCGCCTTCAAATACTACAGTAGAAAGATAGGTTGCTGAAGACAATCTAGGTCAAGGACGTCCAAAACCAGCAACAGCACCAGAAATCATAGAAAAATTACAGGATATCATATTGAAAAATCATCAAGTGACTGAAAGAGATTTAGTAGAAGCCTTAGGCATCTCATTAAGCAGTGTAAGCAATGTTTTAAGTGAAGTATTGGGTTTCAGAGAGCAGTATTCACAATGGGTGCCAAATTTGCTAACAATGGAACAAAACACATTTGAATGTGACTTTCTCAGCAACATTTAGAGTATTTCAAAAGGCTAAATTGGATGGTGTGCATCGATTCATCACTGTAGATGAGACTTTTTCTCTATTACCATGATCCTGAATCAAAACAAGAGGCTAAAGAGTGGCATGAACCTAGTTCTAGAAATCAGTTAAGTAGGTGTTAGCATAGGTTTTTTGGTATGTGAAAGGAATTTTATTTGTAGATTACTTCTTCTGCTAGTGCCTACCCTCAATAGCCCATTGTATTTTATTAGCAGCTGTTAGAAATAGGTTTGTGTTGTTCATACCTATCCACTGTCTCAAATTCCTAAGCCAGGATATTCGGCGGTATCCTGGTTCTCTGTTTCCTTCTATTTTCCCTTCTAATATCAATAGTAGGATTCTGTATTTATTTTCATTTCCCACCATATGTCCAAAGTATCCTAACTTTCTCTCAATGGATTTTAAGACTTCAGTTTCTTTTTGTAAACATTGCATTACTGAGTATTTAGTTATATGATGTACACATGATATTCTGAGCATGTGACGATAACACCACATCTCGAAAGACTGCAACTGTCTGCAAGACGCATCAGTGAGTGTCCATGCCTCTGCTCCATACATAAGAACAGAAAACACATAACAATTAAGGATTTTTGAACTCCTTGGTTTTTTGATCCTACATTTAATCTCATATGAGTGATCCCAGCTGTCTGTGATGTTGCATCCTAAGTATGTTATTTTTTCTGTTTTATCCAATACCTCATTGTCTGCCATAAACTTTGCATCTGTATCTTGGATTTTACTTATGATCATAATTTTCGTCTTCTTATTATTAAGTTTCATTCCATATTTTCTACCGATGTTAATTACTTGATCTATCAGTCTTTGTACTCCTTCAGCTCTATCCGCAACAAGGACAGTGTCATCTCCATATCTTAGATTATTTATTACTTCACCGTTAACAATCACGCCATCAGTTGTTTCTCCCAAAGCCTCTCGAAATATATGTTCAGAGTATGCATTAAACAGCAAAGGCAAGAGTATGCAACCTTGTCATACTCCTTTTTGTATTGGGACTTCATCAGACAATTGATTGTCTACTTGAATCTTGGCTACTTGTTTTCTATAGAGATTGGCTATTATTCTTATATCCTTGTCATTTATGGTTGCGATTCGTAAAGTTTCAATAATCCTCTCATGCTGTATTTTGTCAAATGCATTTTCGAAGTCAATGAAACAAGCAAAGACATCTGTATTAACATCTCTTGCTCGTTGTATCAATACTTGTATGCTAAAAAGTGCTTCTCTTGTGTCAAGACCGCTGTGAAATCCAAATTGTACATCAGCTATACCCTCCACCAATGTCTTGTATATGTGAGCATGGATGATGTTTAAGAATATTTTGAGTGAGTGGTTCATAAGAGTAATGATTCGGTGTTCTTCACATTTCTTAGTATTTGCAGTTTTGGCAGTGGTATAAATATGGACATGTTCCAATCTTTTGGTAAAGTTCCTGTTTCGTATATATGGTTAAATAATTCTGTCATAATGCCAAGTTGATTTTCTTCTATCAATTTCGATATCTCAGTATATATTCCATCAGGTCCTGGCGCTTTGTTGTTTTTTAGATGACTTATCTTACTTCTGATTTTGTTATTGTTGGTCCATTCTCGACGTTGTCGTATACTTCAATGTGTTGGTTGTCACTGCACAGTTCTGCTATATATTCCTGCCATCTGTCCAGCTTTTCTTGCGTATTGAATAGCATGTTTTCATCTTTATCAAACAGTGCAGCGGGCATTGTTGTTCAATATATTCTTGCCATTTCTTTGATCTTCCTGTGCATATTGAATATATCATGTTTTTTCTGTAGGATCTCTATTTCTACATGATTTAGATTACTTGCTAACTGATAAAACAATAAATTCTGAATACTATTGTAACCTTGTAGATCAACTGAAAGAAAAAATTCATAAAAAAATGCGTGGTTTACAGAAGAAAAAAATATTTTTTCTTCAGGACAATACATCATGTGAGATGCGCATTTTGAGAGTGGCTAAAATCCATGAATTAAAGTTCGAATTGTTGAAGCATCCACTGTATCCACCATATTTGGCTCCTAGCGATTTCCATCTGTTTCAATACCATTTAACACAAAAAAATAATGTGTGAAACAAAATCACGTTTTAACAGCTGTGGAAGTGTATTTTGTAGCCATTCCAGATTTTCACTTCAGGAATGGAATTCATAAATTGGAATCTTGTTGGAACATT